AGAGAGAGAGTTCTTTGGTGCCAAACAAGTATGCCTTCACTCACAATATTTCTTGTGGCGAATCTTCAACGGTGCAGAAGGCAGCAGGACCTAATGACGAAACATTTCTCATAGTGAATCTGCGACAAGCAGGACCTAACGTCAAAACTAGGGACACGGGACCAAACAAGACGAACCGAGCAGAGAGTCAGAGACCTAATTGCAATTGCAACGGACTCACAACCAGATGGTTGTGCTGCAGGTCCGAACGAGCAAGATGGATGGAAACAGGAGGCTCCAAAGTCCTGTGCAAGATGGAATGCACGGCGCTAATTACCTGCACCACACTAAGGACAAAGGGCTCCCAAGTTCTGTGGAGCGAAAGCAGGAGGCTGCTTACCTGTGTGTGCACTAAGGACAGAGGGGCCAGGAGGCGGAACTGAGGATCAGACGAGGAGCCAATAACTCCAATTGGCAGAGAACGCGCGATAAAAGACGAAACACCAAGGGGAAGGGTAACCAGCAGAACCCAGCGTTCTGCTCGGTATGACATGACAAGTCAACGAGGACGCTGCACATGTGGAGAGGTCCGCTCTGGACGTATAGGACGGAATGAATGGTGGGGTGACGGAGGCGTTGTAGACAGAGAGAGAATGGCTTTCTCTCTCAAGGCGCATCTTCACTACTTGAAGTGACTGTGACCGGATTTCGTACCCGCCCCGGGCTGCACCGTCATTCGAACTTGCTGCTTTGCACGAGCAATCGCGAGCGCCGTCTGCGCTGCCAAATGCGGCGGCAGAAGAGTTGGACCTCGCTCCAGAATCTGATGAAGACTCTCACCTTCCTCTTCTTCCCTCTGCATCATCCTTAGCTGCATGTCACAGAAGGCCGCATGAAAAAAAAATAGCCGCATTAAACAAAAAAGAAAGAAAAAGAAAAAGAAAAAGAAAAAAGAATACATAGCCGTCACGGTCTATGAGTGAGCTACCTCACTGTTCAAAGAAGCAGCAAAAAAAAATAAATTCGTGACCGCACTGGCGTAGAGACTCTTCTTGTCTTGTCTTGCGCCTTGAAAGCTGCAAAAACTTGAAAAAAAGACGCTTTTCTCTTGGCCTCCAAGGGTGCAAAAGAGGCCTTCCATAATGTCAGGGATTAAAAGTT